GGTTATTATTATACTTTTACTCAGTTATTACTATACTTTTACTCAGTTATTACCATAATTTTACTCAGTTATTACTATAATTTTACTTGGTTATTACTATAATTTTACTCGGTTATTACTATACTTTTACTCAGTTATTAATATGATTTTACTTGGTTATTACTACAATTTTACTCGTTAGTACTACAATTTTTCCTCAGTTATTACTATAATTTTACTCACTTATTAATATAATTTTACTTGGTTATTATTATAATTTTACTCAGTTATTAGTACAATTGTGCTCAGTTATTACCTTAATTTTACTCAGTTATTATTATACTTTTACTCAGTTATTACTATAATTTTACTAAGTTTTTATTATAATTTGACTCAGTTATTATTATAATTTGTGCTCAGTTATTATTATAATTTTACTCAGTTATTACTACAATTGTGCTGTTATTACTATAATTTTACTCAGTTATTACTATAATTTTACTCAGTTATTACTATAATTGTACTTTGTTATCATTAACTGCCAATGGAAATGTTCCAATAAAAAGCCAGGTCATAGGAAACACTATGTCATATCACAAATTAGTTGCTGTGGATATGTGCTGTAGATTTTTGTTATTTCCTTATTTATTCATAACAATGATGACAAGCAATTCTGTTAATACTGGAATGCAGCTAAACACTTTCTTAACAAGTTGCGTACAAAATAATTAAACTCATTATACATGACAAATACTATTAATACAGAAAATGTTCACATAACCAAGAAAATTTTTTTCATATTCCTTTTTATTTTACAAGTACAAATGCATGAAAAGATGGGAGGGGCTTCTCTAAAGGGTTGGATAAGTTTATTAATATCTCAACAGATCAAGAAGTTAGGAGGTTTAATTTTATATTCTTGCTCATAATTATGTATAGTTAGTGCTTCTAATTGGTTCTAAACCTTAGTAACCTATTTTTGTTGTTAGAAAATTTTCAAATTGAGGTGCAGACATGTCGTGATAAAAAAAAGTGAAGATTGAGAATTTTTTAAGTATTTCTTTTTGATATTAAGAAATTAAAACTTGAATAATAAACTATGTTTTGATGCTAATTGTACTGGTATATATTGATAATAAAGTTGTTTAATTGAATTTTGAAAGTAACTGTAAAAAGTTGTGACACTCACAAATAGAGTTAATTACATCAATATTTACAGAACTCTTTATTTGGTCAATAAGCTAAAACTAAATTCTAAAATCTTAAAACCACTTTAAATACCTATGTTAAGCTTCTCAAAAATCAGATCTACAAAAATATTTTACTACATAAGACCACATTTATACTGGTCAATTTATACAGTTTCTCTTCAAAGTAAAATCTAAAAAATTCTTTTACTACATAAGACCACATTAATACTGGTCAATTTATATAGTTTCTCCTCAAATTAATTCTAAAAAAGTTTCTGTTTAAGATATCAGATCCATATATATATATATATAATTTGTTCAGTTCAGAAACATTATATTACGTTATACAGATACAGATCTAAATGTATCTTTTTAATTAAGTGATTCTACCTTAGATTTTCATCTTGCTAATATAATTTAACATTTATGTTTCTGTTGATTCAACAACATATCCAGATTTGATCATCACTTTTAATCTATCTATACATGCTTACCAAATTCAACTGTAAATACAGCTTAAAACACATCTTAACATAATGAATTGTTCATACATCGGACCTTCGATCAGTTGTTTATCACACTTAAACCTCACCTTTCAAGCCTAACATCAGTATAACTAATCACCTAATAGAACTTCTTTTTAAGTCCATAAAATAACATTTTTAACATTCTGACGGTCAACAATAGTAAATAAACATACCTCACACAATGTTTCAAGTGCCTGGTCATTAATCCGAACACAGTCATTGAGGTATAGAGCTTTTAGCTTACTACATTTTGTGGCAATCTTCTCAAATCCCCCGAAGGCTTAGCTGAAAAAAAAAAACCAGTTACACACACATGTATGTACTGTCACTATATAAAATACTCTACGAAATGTCAAACTGAAGAAAACCTCTTCTATTTTACCAGGGATTAGACGAAGGAAAAACAAATATGTAATAGTTATAAATAAACTGCTTATCCTGAAATGCCACAATGAAAAAATTTTTTTTCTGCTTTCTTGGGGCCTAAAAATCATATAATGTTGTTTATACATATCATCTATAACGAAAAACTACAAAAATATACGAACAAGAACAACTACTTATATATATACACAAACACACATTAATTTGGCAACAATATTTTCAAAAGTCCTTAGCCTGTTAAAAGTAGAATTTTATTTTTTCATTCAATCTGTTATAAGTTTTCAAATTATTTACTTTTTCCCTTCAGGTTTTTGAAAGTTCTATAAATAGATAGCTGTTGGTTTAATTTCCACAGGTAAATCTTGTCTGAATTTGAAGGAAATAGTTTTCACAGTGTATTTATAAATAGAATTTCAAAATGCATTTATTTTCTCTCCCTTTCTCTAAGAAAAACCCAATAACATGACCACCAAATTAGATGATCTTATAGGTATTGCTTACACTTAATTCATTTTATTCAGTTAAGTGGTCACTAGGCCAACATAGTCATCTAAAAGTTCATGAAAGCAATAAATCCTCACCTGTGAGCAACCATTTAGTACAACTGTGGTCAAGCACGGTCCAGCTATGTGAAAGCACTGAAATATGCAGAGAAACAATACTAATTCATTGCCTCATGTATGGTAATATAACAGTTCTAGCTACAGATAAAAATTAAACATGAAATGAAAAAAAATCATGTAAAGATAATCAGCAGACCAGTTGTGGATTATTTCTTGAAATTAAGGTATGCAAGTTCATACATCTAATGTTGTAGATCAGTTGTTGAAACACAAAACATCACATTATTCTGGCACAATATATCATTTGGTTGTTTGTTGATAAGAGCTTAGCCACACAATGGGCTATCTGTGCTGTGCCCAATGCAAGTATCAAAAACCCTATTTTTAAAATTATAAACCCTCAGACTTTCCACTGAGTCATTGAAAAGTGTAACAAAAAATAACACACAGTTCTTGTATAAATCCAGCTGGAAAGTATTCAACCATCAGCATGCTGTATATGGTTGGGGGCCAGGTATAAAATTGCTACCAAAAATTAAAAGTATTGTTAAAATCATTTCAAGTTTATACCTCAAGAAAACAGCCTATAGTTGATTTTATGGCTTCAGCTCATTTGTGAAATGTCACAATCATATGGTGATTTATTACATAAAGGCATGTTTATCTTTCTTTCCATTATATAGACCAATCAGATTAACTAGTATTTGTATTTACAGCAAAGCTATTAACATTATATTTACGGCAAAGTTATTAAGGTTATATTTAAGGCAAAGCTATTAAGATTATATTTAAGGCAAAGCTATTAAGGCTATATTTACGACAAAGCTATTAAGGTTATATTTAAGGCAAAGCTATTAAGGCTATATTTACGGCAAAGCTATTAAGGCTATATTTAAGGTAAAGTTATTAAGGCTATATTTATGGCAAAGCTATTAAGGCTATATTTAAGGCAAAGTTATTAAGGCTATATTTAAGGCAAAGCTATTAAGGCTATATTTAAGGCAAAGTTATCAAGGTTATATTTAAGGCAAAGCTATTAAGGCTATATTTATGGCAAAGCTATTAAGGCTATTTGCTATTTTCCCTGATTAAATGTTTATGGATAAGAAATTTTGACAGTCATAACATAGTTTTTAAAATGCTACTATACATTTGCAAAGAAAATGTTTAATCAAGGTTTTTTTTTACTCATTTAATGTCTGCTGTACATTTATAATCAGACATATTTAATAATATGTCTTACAATTTTAAAAGAATAATGATTCTGAGCTAATATTCTTTTCAATTTAAATGTCTGAAACGTATTTAATATCCTACGATGCTACATATATATATATTGTATCTAGATTACTGTGTATATACAGATCTGAAAACACACTTCTCAATGATTTTACAAACGTATTTGACAATTAAATACACTTCTGTGTAAAAACAGAATAAAAGTTAACAAATTATCAATTGTATATTGTAAGAATACAAGTGATGATGTTACATTTCAATATCAAAATATACAATATCTTCAAATGTACAAAAAATAATTTTTCTTATATAGTTTCTGTAGTGGATTTTAGGGTGTACTGTTTCCACATAAATAATTTCTCAATCTATCCTATATTCTGTAGCACATAAATTTTTAATTTTCAGACTTAAATTCCTTACAGAAAATATTCATCATTTCAGTGGTTTCTTCAGATACAGACACAAACACACCCGTATACAATAATACAAGATACATAACACACACACATAACAACATCAAATTAAGTATGTGACACTTACCTGACCAGTTACTTTCACATTTCTGGACAGATCCAAGTATTCCAGATTTTTACAGTGATTGAAAAGCCACCAAACACTGATAAAATACGATGACTTGATATTATCATATATTCAAATGATAAAGAATTGAAATTACAGTAACTGGTTTAAAAATATGTTACATTCAAAACAGCAAAACCTCTTGTATGATCAAAAGTTGCCCTGTGATTATATTGTTAAGTAAACTTTTATTACTGAGCAAAGCTTGAAGATGACATAGTTACAAAAATAAAATTACGGAAAAAAAAAATGATGGCTGATGAAAATGTAAGTTGTTATGATTTGTCATCAGAGAAGCAGGAAGTTTCTTGTTTTGTCAATGCACTGAGGAGATCACACAAGTGGCCTAGTGTGGAAAGAGGTGTTCAAGATAAAAAAAAGTCAACTAACAAATCCTTCCTAACAGTTTACAGTTGCATATCACTAATAATTTTATATCTTGATGTAACATTACTTCTTAGAATAACTTATCTTTCCTTGTGGAGGGAAAAAAAAGACTTAATACAATGAAACAAAATGTTTGAAGAAATTAAAAGTTGGCATCCAGTGAAAACAATGAACTTTTTGGCTAAAATATTCTTACTAGCTGGTGTACCCATCTTCTGGATGGAAGTTATGGCTTAATGAAAAGTTATCTTAGAACATGAAAAGTTGCTTCCCTTATATGTAATTGTAAAAAATGCAAAAATGCTCATAAAAACTGCAAAACACAAAATATGAAACCACAATTTTACATGTGTCTTCGCATGAACCCTACAAACCTCCATACCAATTTTGGTGAAAATCCATTCACACTCTGTAAAGTAGTTACACAGACAAACAATAGACAGTACTATTACATTTATATAGATTTAAGTTTAGCTCAAACATGTATATGTAAATGGTTATTCATTTAATTCAGTTGATATGAGAAACTAATTCAAATAATTTTCATCACAGGTGCATACGTACTTCAGTATTTTGTTTAAATAGGACCTTTCACAATGTTAAGAAAATGTGTAGGTCCAAATACTTAAAAACTTTGCACCTGATAAAGAAAGATCCATTTTTCTAAAGCACTTGAGTTTTTATTGAAATATGCAGTAGACAATGAACAATTGAAAATAAAACAGACACGTATACACAATAAACTACACTTTTCCAAGATTTGTATGCAAACATGTTTATTCACAGTAAACTTTTTTTAGTATTTCAAAAGAAGTGCAGGAAAGAATCTTTATTTTCCTTTAATCCACTTCATAAAAAATAAGTGTAGGATTTCCTATACATTTGACTCTTGTGGTATATTTTAACCTAAGATGAACCAGAGACTAGCAACAATACTCAACAAAGCCAGAACCAAACCTAACAATTCTGGATTGTTTCTATAAAGACAACATGTCTCCTACATCACCAAACCTAACAATCCTGGATGTTTCTGTAAACACATGTCTCCAACATCACCAAACCTAACAATTCTGGATTGTTTCTGTAAACACAACATGTCTCTTACATCACCAAACCTAACAATTCTGGATTGTTTCTATAAAGACAACATGTCTCCTACATCACCAAACCTAACAATCCTGGATGTTTCTGTAAACACATGTCTCCAACATCACCAAACCTAACAATTCTGGATTGTTTCTGTAAACACAACATGTCTCTACATCACCAAACCTAACAATTCTGGATTGTTTCTGTAAACACAACACGTCTCCTACATCACCAAACCTAACAATTCTGGATGTTTCTGTAAACACAACACGTATCCTACATCACCAAACTTAACAATTCTGGATTGTTTCTGTAAACACAACACGTCTCCTACATCACCAAACCAAACAATTCTGGATTGTTTCTGTAAACACAACACGTCTCCTACATCACCAAACTTAACAATTCTGGATTGTTTCAGTAAACACAACATGTCTCTTACATCACCAAACCTAACAATTCTGGATTGTTTCTGTAAACACAACATGTCTCCTACATCCCCAAACCTAACAATTCTGGATTGTTTCAGTAAACATAACATGTCTCCTACATCACCAAACCAAACAATTCTGGATGTTTCTGTAAACACACGTCTCTTACATCACCAAACCAAACAATTCTGGATGTTTCTGTAAACACACGTCTCTTACATCACCAAACCAAACAATTCTGGATGTTTCTGTAAACACACGTCTCTTACATCACCAAACTTAACAATTCTGGATGTTTCTGTAAATACAACATGTCTCCTATATTTTCTTGTCATGATTTAGAAAATATCCACTCAAATATCTTCAGAATTTAGATACTAAAATAATTTTTCTTTACTTCTCAAACTCGATTTATTTTGGCACAACTTTGACTTCCACAGTTTTCCTTTTATAACAAATAATTAAGGAATTTTAGAAGTAATTTATGTGGGTATTTTTATATATTTTTGTTAGATAGCAGTGGTAATGCTAGAAAAAAAAATTATGTATATATTGACACAATACAACAAGTAATATTAAATCTAAATTAAGTAAAATCTCATTATAATCTTCAACACAGCTAAATTTGGTAGTTGTTACTGAAATGCAAGTTTTACAGAGCATATGTAATGACTATTAGCCATGCATTTCACAGAAGGTTGACGATCTAAGACCTTGAAACCAAGTCAACTAAATTTTAGTTAGTTGCAGATGTTTTGTGTAGTTTCCAAGCTTGATCCAAAACTTGTTATTGACAGGAATACTCAAGCTCTGAATTAAACCAGCTTGTTACCTTGGAAATTAATAATAAATACAACAAACAAACTCATTCCGATACATAGTTCTTCCAAGTAAGAATAAGACACAGATGTAAACAAGATACATCTAAGTAAGTTATTAATGCAATGATGATTGATTAAAAGATGTTCTGACTATAACAACCTGACCAAAACATCTTGTACAATAAATACAGTACTGGAAGAAGTTTGATAAAAATATCGCTTAACTATAACAAACCTTACCAATAGTTTTATAATAACTAATACACAAAATAGTTACCCTTTCTCTCCAATGGTCATACACCCTTGCAACTCCACTGTCTGTAAAATCAAAATGCATACCCTATTAATTTAATTCTTAGGTTTCTTTTAATACAAAATCTTTATAGAGAACTAAAGTTTTCTTCAAAAAATATTCCTGAAAAACAATTTCTTAGAATCTTAAAAAAACAATAGTAAACCAGTTACAACAGCAAACATAAATGATCTTTAATATTTTAAAATTATTTTGATTGAAAAATTATGAAGTTCAGCATTTTTGAGATCAAAATAGGATATCCCAAGGATGCTTTCTCTTTTAAATGTAACAGACAGAAAATATTTTTATTACTTATATTACAGCCACCACCGAGATGACTGATCACCACCAAATCCAAGAATTCTCCACAAGGAATAAACATCTGGTAAACTAGGATCTGTATAAATCAACCTAGACAAAAAATTGGCAGAGATTGGAGCAGAAAATGTCTGCAAGTAGAGATTTAAAGACCAC